AATACGGTTCTCAAGCGTTTGGAGAAATGCAAAAAGATGAGGTTTCATCTTGGGTTTTGGTACTAATTGTATACACGATTGCGTCATCACACTGCCTCTAATGGAAACTACCATCTGTAGTCGCACCTCAAAACAATAACCTGGCACACACGACATGAATTTTTCTGTTTGGCCGTCCGGAAATTTTTCTTCTGATCTCCGTTGAAATCTTATGACTGGTGGTCCTAATAATTGTATAGTGCACAGAGAACGGAAATTCTACGATGAAGTAAAGTTTCCGTAGTCCAGCCGGAGGCCCCATAGCGGAACGGCGTCCGTCGTATTTCCGTGCTATTTTCACAAAAGTGTATTACATCATGCACACGAACGGAAGCCGGAGGCGAAACAATTCGCTTACCTAGTATTTTTTCAGCCCTAGTCTGGCAGACTTTCACAGCGAACTATGTTTAATGATGCAGAACCGATAGGCAGAATTTTTAATTATGGAGGTGGAGAAAAGTAAGACGCGTTGCATTTAGGATCTATGCAAAGATGTTCACAAGGAATAAAATGTGAAGGACTGTATATGGACCGAAACATTTTCTGAGCTGTTGCCTAATTTTCAGACCCTACGACTCAACAATACCGAAGATACATTGCAACTTGCCCGTCATCTCAAATTTTTCCTTTCCGCACTACTTTGGCACGGGTATTATGTAAAAAACCTATAAAACGCAAAATAAACCTATAAAATGTCATCTTGCAGACCAGGTAGTTTTTAGGGTGCAAACAGTCATTCCACGTTTGCTCACTAGGATCGTTGTGAGCGTCCATCTATGGGCTACACTGAACTACACGCATTGTTGGTTGCATATGTTTTGTGAAGCCGAGTAGTCTGTCGCAGCAGAAAGTAGGTTGAATAGCAAGATCGCATCTGGACGATTATATGTACCGATTGGTCTGCATGTTTATAAAATCAGTGATATTTGTTGTGTGAGAAAATCATTTCTGAATATGCTGCCAATGAAGTATATGTATTAGCTGTGCTCGACGGGTTACTTATATGTTGTCATTTCTGAAGACAGGTTATGTTCAAAGTTATAAATCACGAGTTTTTACATTTTTTTGTGTTTTCAAAAACTTTGAGGAGAATTACGGGAAATCACCACAGCGCCCGCGTTGTGTTTAATTACTATTAGCATGTATATGACCTGTAATTCGACAGTGTAAAGTGAATAAAATTATTTCTTATCTCTCATTTTTGAAATTCAGCAAATTTTGCGTATGAAATTTCCAGAATGGATAAGAAAAAGTGGATGCGCAACTGATTTAGTAATAATAATAATAATAATAAATGTCTTTATTAATACCTACACATACATCAGTGTGGCGAAGTTTAGCCAAATGGCTACTCTTACACTTAACCTCACTGTGTGCGAAAAAGTAACATAGTTAAACTCGATACACAAACAAACATTAGCAATAATAAGAAGAAAAAGAAATGTATGTAAATGAATTGAGTAGATAACGTGTTGACAACACGCACACACGAGCCAACAGAGTAATATGAAACAGAAAAAGAAAAAAAAATTAACAAATGCACACTTGAACTATTAATATCCCATCAGCTGTTTCTTAACGAGTCTCCTGAAAGGTACTATTGTTTTACTGCGACACATTTTATCTGTAGAGTTGTACAATTTGACAGCATGAAATGTGAAGCTTTTCTGGAAAAGGGCTGTGTAGTGGACTGGCATCGCAAAATTCAGGTTGTGTCTGAGATTTCTCTGACTAATGTTACCTCTTGGTACTAGCTTTTCTAAAATGACTTTTTTGTGCGAACTACTTTATGGACAAACACCTTCATAGCATAAACAAACTGTGATTCCATATTTAACCAATTTAAACCTTTAGTCTTCGAAGAGACATGACTATATTTACGAAGTCCAAACACAAACCTGCAGCAGCTGTTTTGAATTTTTTGTAACCTATACCGGTCCGACGAATCCAAATAAGAATAGAATGAAATCAGAGAATGTTACAAAGATGAAAGGATCAAGCTTTCAACTAATTTTTTCTTAATCTTAAAGTTTAAAATGAAACGGTTGGAGTAAAAAAGTTTTAATTTGGCATACGTTTTTTTATGTTATTATACATGTGTTTCGGAGAAAAAGGCATCCTTGAACTCTTTTCAGGATTGATTCTGAGACAGTGCTTTTTACAAAAATCCGTAATATTGATTAGGTCAGTATTAATTTCAAACGACACTTCATTTAACTGAGCATATTTGAAGTGAAATGATAACTGTGTGTCATCAGCATACGTTTGTATAGAACAAAATTCCACACATGAGTCTAAGTCTATTATGTAAATTAAATATTGCAGGGTTTCCAGGACTGACTCCTGCGGAACTCCAGGCGAAACCACAGTACTAGAAGAGACGCCCCTAACCGTCTTAACTACCTGTCTTCTTTCAGCCAAGTAGCTTTGGAAAAATCTTAGCGGAATATCAGATAGTCCAAAGTACTTCAGCTTGCTCAACATGATTTTGTGTTTAACTGTATCAAAGGTTTTTGATAAATCAATCATCACTAATATGGTATTAATATGTCTGTCTAAGTTACCTACGATGTTGTCAGTTAGATGGAGCAAAGCTGAAGTAGTGCTAGGAAACAAGTTATTTTGCTCTCTAAATATTCCACTAGTTAAATGTACACTGCTTTCTCTAATACCTTCGAACAAAGGCACAGCAAAATAACAGGCCGTAAATGATTATAAGTGGTTGGATTTTTGACTTTGGCTTAAGGGATGAAAATTTCTAGCTTTGAATCTCAAGTAAGTGTATTTGAGACAAGAACCCAATAGAATTATCAGCAACACATTATTAGCACATAAATTCTCACTATGCACCTATGCATTGCCGTTTCCTTCTAGCTATACTCGTAGTATACAACTTACAACTTAGACCTCCAGTTATGCCATCTCTCAAACAGATTTTACATCACATCAGAGCCAAGCATTGATATATGAAGCCTCATGACGTTTAGGCAACACGTACAACTACAAAACGAGTTCACAACGTGTCCATCAGCCAGTGTTAAAAAACAATACAATGTGAAAATATTAACATAATATCACTTTTCAAGATACGTATTACCTATGCCGGTCTCAATTCGTTGAAGTTGACGCCTGCAAGGCGGTCGTTCCGCCCTTTGGCCGCTCGTATGTACCGAGACTTTAACAGTACGGTGCAAGAAACGTTCAACTATTTTTCTTCGAGATAGTTCCTGACTCGTGCCCGTCCGTCAGACATCTCTAAAACCTTAGTGAAACCTAGAACATTAGATATACAAATGCATCATAACTTATGTCCCAGAGGTTTTGGCACAACATTCAACTATTCGTCATTCGTTTGTCTGGGCGGTCCGTAGGACCTTTGTCCATTAGTCGCTGGCTAATGTACGTTAGTCGAATCTGTCAGTATTGGTAGCCCAGAAACTGGACAGTGTCAAGGAGGTACAAAATTCATTGGCTTTAATTTTAACAAACACAAAATAATATTAAGTTGCCTTTCGAAACAAAAGTTTGTTTAATTATTTTACTGTCAGTTGATATTTATTTATTTTGAAGTTTGCGCTTCAAGATGTATAAATTAGAAATACGAAAAATTATCTACAAGTTGGTTGGGCGGGTATCCAAAGTTGAAAATTGTCGAATATTCCAGAATGAAAACATTTCAAGCAGAATCACTTATCGAACACTAGCGGAGTGTTCCCAAAATAGAGGTATTGGTGAGAAGAGCAAAAAATCAGGTTGGAATGCCAACAAGGAGAATGGCTCGTCAATGCAGATCTTCTAAGAATGAGGGGTGAAGCTTTGAATAGTCTGAGCTATATTGATAACTGCCTTTCCAAATTGCACCAGTTTGTCCACCAACATCATGCTAAGGACCATGTCATGTTTTGGCCAGTCCTTTGGGCTTTACTGTCTAGGAAGGCTTATCATGGATGCTGGGAAGCCCAAGATGAAGAACAACTAAGACGGCTAACTTACGAAAAACTGAGATAAATTAATCTGAATTCCGTCCAGAACCTCGCGAGAGACATTCGGAGAAAGATGCGTCTGGTAGAGCAGTATGGACCACTCCACACAATTCGATCGTATAGTTTAGTTGAATATTGAGTTGTAATTTATGATAACTGGTTGGTGTTTAAAAAAAATTCTTCATTAAAAAAAATCCTTTAAATATTTTGTGCCAAAACTTTTAGGAGTTAGGTGTGCACTAGTCGGAAAGCGTCGCGGAAAAAGACATAATGGGAAGTAATATGATGCTAAGCCACTTCTAGTTTCCAATAGAAAAGATATGTCCGCGTATCGGTCTATCCAGAAAATACTGGAACCTATTACTACCCCAAAACCCACGAGCCTTCATTGGTCTCATAGATACAAGACCCTATGCCCGTTGAACATGTGTGGGATATGATGGGAAGAAAAGTGACATCCTTATCTCATTCTCTACAAACTCTAACTGTTTTTCGGAGCAGGCTTGGGATGAAATACTTAACCGAACTAAAATGTAGAAAATAAATTTTAATTACAAAGAGTTTATATTACAGTGGTAGATGGTCGAACAATCAATCATAATTAATGACCTCAAAATAAAATTATAATAAAATTTAAGTTATTAACAGAATAGTTCAATTCGGAGTAAAAACCGTGGAGTGCTTGACATATTAAATCTTACCATCATCCTATTGGCACCTATCTATGAGAGGAGAGTTATAAAAATGTAGTAAAATGCACATTACAAACTTTTTAAGCTATAAAAGTGTTTTTTTAGTTTTTCAAGCTATTATTATTATCTCGAATTTCAACTTGCTATCATGACCCGTTTGAAAAATAAGTAGGGTGGGATCTTCTTGGAAAGCACTGTATATGTTGTTCCATACATGACCTTCGAACATTTACGAGAATCTGTTATAAATATATTGAGGTAGGTGTAATTGTTATTATCAGCGTGTGCATATTTTTCACCTATATGCTGAATCAATTAGCTCTTTTTAGCTAATCTGTAACCTGTATCAATAGTAACCTTCATTTCTAGATGAAAATGTGATGTTGTTACTTCCCATATTTATTTTTATCAAGATACCTTGTGCAAGTGCATTGAATGTACTAGATATACTAGTCTGGATCTGCTTTACTTAGTATCAGTGGATCGATCATGGTAAGTTTGTGGTTACGACCGTCCTAGCTATGAGTTTTACTTTTTTCGATACCGAATCTTTTTAATCTCAGTCTTTTATGGAGCATTGTTTCACTGCGATGAAAATATTTCAAGTGTTATGACAGGTTCGAAGCCGATTATGATTAATGGCAAATTCTTCACATAATGCCAATTTTTTATCTCCCAATTTTTATTAATAATTTGTTGCTACGAATGGATTATACACACTCAGAAAAGTTCTTCGTATATCTCTGGTAGTGTAATTTCAAAAGTAAAGTAAATCTAGTGTTAGAATCGCCATTCTTTTTAACAGACATTTATTCGTTTGACCTGTATTTACTAGTAACGTAATATTCACAAAGTCTGATTAACTTGAAAATATGCACAGGAGTCAAGGACCGACGACAATACAACAATCTTGGAAAATTTCTTGAAGAACTGAATTTTGAAATTTGGAAAAAATTGAGATTTGAAAATTTGGCAAATAGTTTCAAGGTTTGGAAATTTTGAAAAAAGTTTGTAAATTACGAAATTTGGAAGTGAATTTAGATGGAATGTCAAATACAAAATTTACCAAAATTGATGCGTCCGATTATGAGTGCGTTTGAGATTAAACATTTAGAAAATAGACTATAGTTTAAGAAAACAAGAAAAATACGCCTTAACAGCAGATCAAACTAAAAAGTAGAAAATAGTTTCTAAGTACAGGAGCATTCTTGTTTCAACAATAGAAAGTCCAACAATCGAATAGGACTAATTAATTTGGAACAAGATCAATATAAAAATTCAGCTATTAACAAAAAATTATAGTAAAGAAACGCATTGTGCAATTAACTATAGTTTCACATGAACTCCAATTTTGTAAATAGCAATTAATAGAATAATTCTAGCATCCAATACGAAGCAAGTTAGATGGTAGAATAGATATATAATCTAAATCTCGCCTCCGGTAAGAATATTACAAATAAAAGACGTTAATTATTATTATTATTATTATTATGTCTTTAAATAACGGTGGTTTTTTTTGTTAATATTTGAATTTGCATATTCATCTTATTACAAATTAATTAGTCATATTTGAATGTTGGACTTTCTATTGCAGTTACACAAACTGTCCGTCCTATACTTGAAAATTGTTTTCTACTCTTTCGTTCGGTTTGCTATTAAACTGTGCTTTTTTAGTTGTTTTAAACTTCAGTTAATATTCGGTGAATTCTTATTCGTCGGTGTAGGTATACCGCGTTGTAGCATCAATAAAATTCACCGATACCTGTTCATCCATTAACTCCTATACTGCACTGAACTGTTTGTCGTATATGCCACAGTTAATTGGTAGAAACAAACATTTGTGGAGACTTTTTATTATTTTATTACAGATATGTTTGTTTCATTGTAGCAATGTGTATATAGAGGTAGGGTAATTTCAAAAATGGGAATGGAATCAGTAATGTAAACAGAGGTCTTCTTTTGAATGAACATGAAATAGAAAAAATCTGTGGGAAGTTTTACAGTGGAAAACTGAGTATATTATTAATTATATTAGATATGGTCATACTGTTTTTGCCTTGTATGAAAGAGTAGGATAAATCGTTATGGTCATATGTGAATCCATATGTGCTGTCAGTTTGAATGCGGGACATTTTTTACACCTACTGATAAAACAACGTGGCCATGCCATCCAAACTTTGGTCGTTTTGGCGCTACATTTGAAAATACCATCAAGTTGTATAGCGGCTACCCAATTAGCAAAGTAGTGCTATAAGCTTTTGGTAAAAGAACTGTTCAGCCGTGAAAGCTCCCTATTGTTGTGTAGAATGCAAATTTGCTTTCTGCAGCATATTTGCTCTAAAATGAGGTGTTTAAAATATTCTTATAGCATAGTTATACAACACCTTATAGGACAAATTTTGAACGGTTGCATAAACGTTTATACAACTATTTTATATGGCATATTCGCTCGGTAGTGAAAATAGTTGTGTTGTGGCATCCATGGTAACGTTTATACAACAAACCCGAGCCTTATTGTTTTGGTGTGCATATTTACTACTTTAGCCAACAAATTGCTCCCAACGGAAGCACTTACACAACTGTCGTTTAGTAACTGTTAAAGGCTGTACATCTGCAACAATATTACAACTTTTATAGTACAAAATTGCTGTGCTCGTCATATATTTGTTGCTAAATATGTTGGTATACAACTTCACCATAACCTAACTCTCTGCTGTCATCTTTTTAGTTAAAATGCCATAACCAATATTTTAAGACATGCATATTGGTTTAAAAGATTTTATCAACTGTTCAAACAGGATATATAGATCTGTTACACATTCTGGGTAAATCATTCGACTCCGTATTTCATTTCAGAGATTTGTCAAATTGTTGTATAACACTTGCAGGCAACACCAAAGTATTCTAATAAACCAAAGACAACATGGACGATGCCGGGATTATACATAACCACCCGCCATATTGGGCAAAAATAGATTTCTCTATATTGAAAATTAATTGTTTCAGTTCGACATTACAGATATAAAGTGATAAACATTAGTGTAATTGTGATAAATATAGGATTTGTGGAAGATTTAACGCAGATAAGTTCAGTTTTTAAAATATGAATACGAAGCCCGTAGAAATTGCGTAACTACTTTGCACGATAATCACAATAAAATTTGCTGCGCAAGTAATTCAATAGCCCTATATCCTAGTGTAGAAGTTTATGATATACCTGTGTATGAAATTCACAATGGCCGACATGTAAGTAAACAAGATGACTGTAATGTGTTAGTTATATATTCTTCACTTCGTCTATACAATACATAAGAAATAGTTTGGTTGCAATAAAGTAGAATCATGTAACAGAATAGTTGTATAGTTGACAAAAACTGAATCTTGCACTGACGAAAATATTCTGTAGCGGCTGCAAGAGGTTTACACTTTTGTTGTATAACTGTTACCTGCCGCCCTTATACTACCTCTTAAATGACTGAAGTGTCCTATTAGGGGTACCCATTTCGCGTGTATAGCTGTTCTAAGAGCGTTTTGCTAATGTTCTTACAGCATACAATGCTGCGTAAGGAAGACTGTATAATCATTCTTGCAACTCTAATAGGAGTGTTAATTGTTAGTTGGGTACTCAACATATTTTCGTAACATGACCGACTCAAATAATTCACTTTTTAAAAACCAGTATATTTTATGGTTACACATTTTTGAAATGATCCAATATTTTTGAGATATAGTAGGGTTTTCAATTTCTATCAGTTTGCAAATTAATTTGAATAGCCGTTACCTACACTGCAAAGTTGTCCATTTATAGAGCTCAAACAAATTTTGAACAGCTGAAATCGTTACATTTGCATTCAAAACGGAGTAAAATGAGTTTTAAACATTTAGAATTAATCCAGTCTGGTTGCAGGGGTAATGTTGTTGCTTTACGACTTAGCTGTCAAATGAAGATTTGGATTGCATTACCTCGTTTTTTATACAGGGTTACGGGTTTGGTGGATTTTCCTAGTTTATAATCAAATTGAGATAATTCATGCACAGACATTGTTCTTCTATGGATAATTTTGATTTATGTATATACTCATTTCATGTTAGCTGTATTTATAGAGTAAATAAATATTACTATTACTATTACATCCATGAAAGCAACTAGAATATTACGCATTATCTATCTCGAAAAATAAAAAGGTCTTCGTTTTCAGCATGCCCTTATAATAATACTGTATCTAGCTCTACTGCATAGTTCATTGAACGTTCAAATTGCTACAAAAACTTGCCAATCTGGTCAGCTTTTCCAAAAAGGTATCAAACATCAGTACAATAGCGCTTAGTTAGGAAGTAAAAGCCATCTAAACCGATTTGGATCAAACAAAAATCCACTAAAGGTTTTATTTTGGAGTTTCACTATCTATACAATGGAAGTCCGAGATAAAGCTTCTGAAACATCCACATTGTATGCAAACTTATCAAAACATTTTCCCAATACGAGCCCTTTAGGTCCGATGCAGGTCTACTTTCACTGCTTTTCTGATACGATATACAAAGCTCCGTAATAGCTCAACAGAAGAACATTCACCGAAAACATTAACACCGTTTCTCCAATCGCCGAACGTTATGCGTTTTTTGGGTTACTATGGAACTACATATTGAAAACCCATAACACAGACGTTGATCAAGTTTCATGAAATACACTATACTGGAGAAATGTCTTGAATGTGTAGTAAACGCGGGAAAACACCACAAAGGCGACAAGGAGCGAAGAAGTGAATGCTGATCTCCAGTCGCAACTTAGATGCTCCAGTTGAGCGTGGTTTTTGAAAAATTAATACACTCATCTGATTTATTTATGAAAAATGTATTTCTATTAATGGGATGTTATTTGACTTTAATCGGCTTAGATGCGTGTTTTCCAGAAATTAAACAATTCCAAAGCGATGTTTAATACGTATTTGAAAAGCTGATTATACAGGCAATTTGTACGTTCAATGTACTAACAATTTGTAGAGCTACACAGTTTGGTTCTATCAAGCTGAAAAACGAAAACTTTTTTATTTTACGAAATAGCTGCTATTTTAATGTGTATAGTAATTTTGAACCTTTTACGATTCTACCAGCCTCAATTATGAATAAGATCCGAAAGTCAGTTGAATTCTCACACACTCTATATAGGACTCAGACGCCCAATTTTGCTGAATGGTGGATGCTCCACTAATTTATAAAAAAGAAATGTTGCCAGAAAACATAAAAACGGTTAGAAACTAAATTATAATAGCACCAGATTATATAACTCATTATATCTGGGACCGACCGATATGCATGGAATAAGGACAATACTCAATGAATCAAAATTGTCATATTTGATAAATCTTGTATGAATAAAGGAAGGAACATGTTTAAAACACGCTATAGTAAAACCATTTTCTAAATCCGGAGAAAGAGAAAATCCCAACAACTATCGACTAATTTTCAACTTAACCAATTTTTCTAAAATATTT